CCACATTCGTACATTCTTTAACCGTTGTTATTCATAGAATGCAAAGAGATAATGTTTCAGCTTTACTTTAGAAGGGTTGCAAAGACAGTTCTTGTTAATAGAATCTTTCAGAATGATATATCTGCTTCTGGAACAAAAAAGGTAATACCATGGACACATTATTAAGAAAACAGTGAAATGGGGAAAAACAATACCTCGACAAAAATTTACATATTCCCTCGTGCATCTTTTCATGTCATCATCCAGCTTTCGCATTCTTGTCCAAATATCTGTTTCGATCTTTTCATAAGCCATCCGCTTATTGTTATTCAAATTCTGTTGGGCACACTCTAACTGACCGATGGTACGCCTCTTTAACGATTCGGTCCGTAGTGACCGAATAATTTCAATGTACTGAAATGTGCTTGTGTTCAAAACAGAAGTGTACTTAAATTAATCAACTAGTATTTACGTCTGAAATAAATGCATTGATTTGGATTAAAGCTTTATCTAACTAGGGAAGGAACTGAAAAACAATCTCGTACCATCACTCTTCTTACCAACTTAACTGTTCTGCGCTTTTAGTAAGTTATATTCCTCATGTAGGAAGGGGGAAAAACGCCTGACACTGGCCGTAAGACTTTAAAGAAAAATTCGCTGTACTTTTATTATAAAAGAGAATCACAGAAAGACAAGCATAGACTAAAACTCGTCTCCATCCTTCACTTGGCAGTATAAGATTCTACAAAACCTGTAAAACTACGAAACGCTTTACCCGCAATCTATCATGATATTCCTTAAGAATTTCTTCCTTTTTCTTGATAAAATCTGCCGCCTCCTGGCTCAAAACTTCAGCTTGCCTCTTTTCCAGCTATAATAAATAAATAAAACAACGAACTACCTTACATTTATTAAAAGGAAATCTTAGAAAGCACCTGTAAAATCAAGTCTTGCCAGGTCTAACAATTTTCGCACCGCCATACCTATATGCAAAAAGTCACCCATTCCGAGATATAAATCATGTCCTGTAAAACTCATCCCAAAACCTAATATATCAGAGTCTATCTCCACTGCTTATGCATGAGATCTATAATTATAGCCTATAAGCTTCACTTAGAAAGTGAAAAAGTAGTAAACGCTGAGGATAAAACTACCTGCTTCAGTTTCTCAGTATAAAGCTTTTTTTTGGCTTCGATAAAGAGCTTTTCAGCTAACACAATTCGCCAAGCATTCAACTCCCTTCGCCTTTCGTATACGGATGGTTCAATTTCGCTTTCGCTGTCGGAAGATTCTTGCATCTCCTCTGTTAATTCATCACCTTCAAGTTTCTGCACAACAACTGTTGCCTGGAAGTGAAGGAACAAGTATATTCTGCTGATTAGCATGAGAAAAGCAGAATTTATAATAAGACGATAACAAAACTAGAAAAACAAAGGAGACCTTCACTTTCATAAGTACTGGCAAGCTTAAACTGAATCAACTAATAAGACTTGGCTTTAGACTTTTTGAAAACTGCTTAAGATAAACTAATAAGCTGAAATTATTTGATTCCAAATTTTTTTCGCGATTCTGAGTTACCAAAACTATCCCTTTGTGAAATGTATGAGTTCTCCCAATAACCATCTGAAACTACTACACCACAAATAAATGTCCCGCTAACCATTCATTAACCAGTCCTCATTTATGTTACCCGTTGTAATATGCAACTACAACATCGCCTATCCACTGTACATTTTCGCACTCGCGTGCAACTCGTATGCAACAGGACGTGTCCCGCAAAACGGTACGGTATTGAGTGAAGAATAAAAGTCTCGAAGAAATTTGAAGCTAGAAAATAAGCAAAATATACCACGTCATAACATTTCATGTGCATACCTTTATAGATTCAAATAATTCCGTTTGCACATCCTCGTTGTGATGTTCCATCTAAAGTTTGGACAATTAAATATAAATTAATTACATGTCCTTTCCCAAAATCAGACTCTTTTAGGAAAGAAAGAAGCACTATAAAAGGTCTAGCATTGATTGCTAAAAGATTAGTGGGAAAAAAAGAGCTCAGTGGATGAGTAGAGCCGAAGTGGAATAAGAAACAGTTGACTGATGACGTGTAGCAACATCCTCAGAACTAATTAAAACAAATTATCTCAGTTCAGCAACGAAACTGCTTCCTATCGATACATAACTCTAAATTCTGAATCTTTTAAAATAAACAGTTACCTCTTTATAAATTTGCAAAATCTTTCATTCAGTGTAAAAATAGAGGTTTCATATATGCGGTTGTTTTCTACCTGTAATATTATTTTTTTTCGGAGCATTTGATACTGAGTTCATCTATCTGTAAAAATATGACTTTCAACATCGATTCGGCGCAAATGATTCAACAGAATGGAGTAATGAATTACTTAATACGTGAGTCCAGGAACTTTTAAAAAAGTTGAAATATGTTTAAAGTTTACTCCATCTTTATATTTACTTAGATCACATTTTCCTTCTCTTTAAGCATCTCTGGAAAGGATCGTTTCTTGCTATTTTATTCATTTTTTTTTGTCCATACTATATCACCCAATCAAATTTCGATAAGCTGTCCAAGGAAATTGAAAGAAAAAAAGGCATTCAAAAACATACATGCATAAGTTAACCTTTAAATCCATTTTTATTCAAATAAACATTGGCATGTCGTAAATGAAGAAGCATACTTTGAAAATGTCATTCCTCGGCCTTGAGTGACCAATCACCGGCAAAAGATATGCATCGTCTCGCGTTGACAATTTCACATCACCATATTAAACTATGCCACCTGAAACGATTGTGATGGATTGATGGATGGATGGATGGATGGATGGATGGATGCATGGATGGATGGATAGATGGATATGGATAGCAATAGAAAACTAACCAACCAACCACTAATGAAAAGAAAAGAGAGGGAGAGAGGGAGAGATGAAGTAATAAAGTTTATGAAGTTTAGAGCTTAAGGACGCAAAGAATATGACAAAACCGAAAGTATCTCTCAGCTATCATTCGGTATGATGGCATTAGGATCAACTGTCAATGGATGAATAAGGTGAATGGTAGAAAATGAAACGAGTATGGGTGTCGTAATTAAGATAATTATGGAAAGTCTCAGCGTGAGACGAACTTTGATAAATTGAAGAATAAATAAGAAGTGATTTTTTTTCTCTCACTTCTAACATATATCGAATTTACCTCCCTCCCCGCGTGATTTATTTGTATTTTCCTACTACAGGAGCACCTGTATTTGATGAAATATGACACTGGGGGTCAGTAGAATATTTCAAAGTTCTATCGATGAATCTTAGAGAGTCTTAACAACACTGCGAAAAAGAAAGATTATCTGATATCTGACTTCTCCACTACATACTCTGACGCTCTGGCTGTGGTATTTTCAAGGTAATTAACAGTAATTATTGCGATAACCCTTCCTTCATATGGTGCTAGTTTTGTACAGAAACAAACTGTCTCACGGTTTGTCGTCAGTAATTCTATTTCCCGCTTATTTCGCCAATCCCGTATCACATTCAAAACATACTGCATAATATCTGATATCTCTTTCGATTTATTATCTTTAGAAAAGTTGTTTTACAACATTAATATTATAAGAAAGAAAAGGAAAAGAATTTGATCACAACGTAGGAAATTAAACACAAGCATAAAACAACAAGGAGAATTCATTTCCATAGTGAAACCAATGAACAGTTTGAAGCACAGCTTTCAGTCGCAAGAAAAAAAAAAGAAATCATTAAAAAGTATAGAAGGAAAAGAAATTTGCAATGAAGCACAACATCTATTGGAAAGAATAATAATGCAAATAAAAGCAGTTCTTTTTATGTCACTTGCAAACTCATGTATTAGTAAACAAAACGATTCTTCTAGGAAGCAGATAGTAGAATTTTCATGAAAAATTTGAATTTCGTCAAGAAATGAGAAGCTATAGGAGAAATTAAAGTGATCATTCATACATTAGAGCAGATACAAGATTCAAATCTCCATCAATGACAGATTATTTGAAATAATTGATAAAGTATATGTACTTGCAGTCCTCAATACCGATTCTTCTGCTCTCTGAGATGAACATAAATACATGGAACAAACTAATTAGTGATGTAAATCGAATATTTTGAATACATGGGCAAATAAAAATATAATGGACTAAAACAATAGATAAGTAAAATATAAGCAGTAGAAAAAAATTGCCATCGAAATCATTGTGATTACTGTATCCAACTCTTTAATGTGTTTTTGGACCAAACAAGAAGTAAAGGCATCGAAACTTTTTCACATGCCACGCAGAGTTTTAAAAAGATTTGGAAAATACCGACAGTTTTTAATACACTACTTTATGCTTTTTCCTAAAACGGAAATTTAACGGCATGCGTATCCACATAGTCCACAAATTCTTCTCCATATGCTATGCAAATTTTCAGCAAAGCTTCACAATCATCTCTAGAATAATGAGCGCTATAATCGCCGTTTAATAACTGAAACGAACATGAAAGTCAGATTCCCCATTAAATTCAAAGTACTATCATTGGAATAGTGATTTTTTTTTCCTTTTTTTTAATGAAAAATCATCGTCCATTTCATTCTAAATCCGTTCTATAATTGTGAGTGGTAACAGCTACATAGTAACATTCTTGGAAACTTAAAACATGCACAGATAATGTCGTGTGTTATAAGATTGGGACTAAGTAGTTGGATCTATCGATAAATCAGTTAGTTGGCAAAATGAATGAAAAGGTTTGATCCACATTCTGCCCGGAATGGTCATTACATAGAATAGTATCTGATATATAAATTTTATCTCATATTAAAGACTGAAAATTCAAATGCATAGAAAAGTCTTTGTATTTCAAAGAATTATAAGCGAAGGATTTTAATAATGGCATAACCTGCTTATACATGGATTTCAATTTGAAAGCGCCTTTTTCATGGAAATATGCAAGCGAAAAATGATTATTGAACACCCAGTCCCCTTGATTGGAGCGTCTAAAAGTAAGTCAAATTAAAACGATAAGAAAGTGTAACTGTGATGTGTGGATAACAAGAATTTTGATCAAGTCTTCGTAAATCGGAAAGATTTACGCTGCAAAATCATTGAAACTAACCAAGATCTTCAATTATCAGTATTCTCTACTAGCAAGTAAAAAAATCTATAAAACTTATAAATCATAGTCAAATTCGGTAAATTACAGAAACAATATACTTGAAAAGATTCGGTCGAACACGTTTCTTCTTAGCTGGTGACCATTTCGTTGTACGAATGAAGTTTAATGGATGATCATCGGATGTTTGGATGAAAAGCTGCCTTCTAGCAGGTCTGTATGAACCATACTAATAAGAGAAGTGATCATATGGGTGATTACAAATTACTAATGCTCCAGGTTGCTGGTACGATTTGATAAAAATCATAGAGCTTTACTTTTAATTAAAATATGTCGTACTGAAAGTAAACTGTTTAAACCTTTGATTAAAAAAAATGAAAGCAACATGAATTACAATTAATTCATAGGTTTTTGAAAAGTGAAATTATTTCACAAACCTTGGTTCGCTTTTAGCTGAACACTCTACCGGAACAACAAACGTGATGTCTTGTGATTCCCCACTAAAAGTTGGGCTGTTAGTCTTTGATGACCTTGCAGAGATATTCAGTACTTCGGGTGTTTCTAATGGTTTAGAAATAATATCCATATGAGTTTGTGAACATCCATCTACTACACACGACGACATTTTATGTGGTGACGGTAGTGGACTTTCACTTTTTAACTGTGCCGACACTGCAGGAGAAAATTGTTCGATACCTTGCATGTTTATAATACTGCTACAAGCAAAAGCAGGATATTTTAAGAAGTAAACTCTTACATCAAATTTTCATTACAATTAATCATTTTGCAGAAATTCCTTAAAATAGACAAATATTAGACATCTTACAAATACTTGATATCTTACAGTGGCCCCAGTCTAACAGCTGCACGGCAGTTCGTAATTCGTCATGTAACTTTTTTTCCAAATCCAGAAACATGAGATAGGAATCTACAAAATAAACCTGAAACAAAATGTTTGCTCAGTGAAGCAAAAATAAGCCTTTTTTTGGTACGAAATGAATTTGAAATTAAGTAAAATGATAATAGACTTTTAAATTCAATACTTTAGGTCATGTGTCACAAAAAGTGGTATTTTGGTGAATAATTAGCACTAAGATTTGCAGCAAAAAAGGAAAAAGTGATACCTGGTCAGGAATAGGATTGGCACTCAGAAGACCGCTTCGTTCAAATTCTGCATGCAGTATACGAAAATCAAACCTTGAAAAGTGGCAAAAACTACTTCGTCTGATTCAAATAGTAAACTGATGTTCAGTGTTTTATAGAGATGTTAGTAAAGGATAGGTGAGAGATGAAACCTTAGTCCATTGTGAGCAATTATGCAAACCGGCTTCCGCATCTGCTCCAAAAAAAGTTTCACCCCATTCCATTCTGTGGCAAAATCATTTTTATCTTCTAAGTCTTCCCGAGAGTAAACAAAACCTAAAACAATTTTTTTTACAGAAAAAAAAAACTATGAATAAAGAAAATGAAAATTCTGTGGTCGATTTTATGACGGGTGATCACATCGGTGTGTAAAGCAATGTTCTAAATGAGGGGATAAAGAAATGAAAGTATAAAAGATTAAGGTATGATTACCACTACACCGGAGCCGGCCCTTTTCGTACTCTGTCCACTCCCTATGGCTCATTTTAGGCTTTACCTGCAAACATAATATAGACACAATGTAACTGAAATCTAACTTTTAACTTTGATCCATTGAAATCAAATTTACTCTTTACTACATTACAAGACGCCTCAACAGTTCGAGCAGTTACAGTAACCTCCGATCAACATACAAATCGTAATATCAGTTACAGAAAGTAAAGTATGTATAACTGGGAGGTCCTAGATTTTAATCTAAACTGAATTTACAACATGGAGAACAAAACCTGTGCGGAGCAGATGTTGCAAGGAATTCGGAAACTACTGGATCTGGAATAAAATGGTTCTTGACTGTCTGCCTCATTACTATTCATCAATGCATCCATCTTTCGAATTCCAGATAAAACTGCTTTCCTTGTGGCCGAAATAAGGCTGATCTCCATAATATGAGGAGCCTGACTAGAACTAGCTGAAATCATACGGCAGAAAAGAACTGCTGATCATATGGAGAAAGAATAGAAAGCATAGATAAGCTAGGCTCTAATTCATACATTGTCCAGGACTGTTATGTAAAACTCAAATTAGACGAGCTCTAATCCAACTAGCTTCAAAAAATCTGAACATTCGCCGCAAACAAGCAATACAAATAAAATATCGATTTACTGATCCTGATATGGTTGCGTAATATTTGAGACAAGTCCCTCTGAATGCCTGGAATCGGTGGGTCATCCAATGGATTCATCGCATCGACTGGGAAGAGCCCACTGGCTTCCACATCCAGAAATACGAATGACTGTATGGATCTAGACTCATGGCTCGCAATCACAGCCATCTACTGAGATAAGCTGAAAGCACCACCAAAGCTTATCTTCAAGCTGAAAGCACCATCAAAAGGTTATCGTGCGGGAAGAATAAAGAGGAACTCATAACTGACACTAAATCCATAAGCCATGGATGGTTGCAGCCGTTTTCTAACGCTGAAATGAGTAAAACTCAGGAATGGAAGAATTATCTAATCATAAACAAAACTACCGAAGTTATGTGTGCATCATTTCACTCGTACGTCAAATCCTGTATTTCATGTCATAGCTTCAAAACCCAAACCTCCATGATTTAAAACTTTATCACATACTAAAGCTCAAACTCAGCACCATCTATTAATTTTACAAGTGCTGTCATTTAAAAGTTCATTTTATCGAAATCGTGGTAAATAAAAAGATGGGCTAGACCAAAGTCAAGATTATACTCTAGCTTGGTCACGCCTTACATTTATTCTGTTCTACTTATTTCAATTACAGTAACCGACTCCTCACTGTCACAAAAACTTCACCACTTTCAAAAAAAACTCTTTAAAGAGATGCAATTTTTAGTATCTGAAAAATGAGCGTAAACTAGATGTCTACCGTCCCGCTTCGATAGAATTCTTGGAACCGATATTAACTTATTTTGTAAAACATATTCGTACTAAATTCCTATACTAAATTTTGCATATAGATATAAAAACTGCATAAGTTAATTACAACCACAAGAAAGCACAATTAATCAACAGACGATGATATAATCGCAGGTAATATTTTATATCAACGATTTGTTGGCATAGCTTCATATTGCAGGAGTTCTATGATTGTAAATTCCAGAAATACAATAAGAAAATTTTGCACAGTGATTACAAAGTAATTACTAATAATCAGGAGGAAGACTCCAATAAACATGGAAGTGAAATCATAAGTGGTAGCAGTAGTTAAATATCATTTTAGGGTAAGGAACTCAGAAAAATCATTTGGCAAAGATGGCAGCATGCCACAAATTTATTTGCTTCCAAACATATAAATGAATCGCTTGCCGCAATATTATTATTACTGAATTTAATATTACCAAAATTCAAATGCATTAAGTACAAATTTCGAACTTTACTGGAAACTTTAACATTCCAAATTCTTTGTATTTCTAGGAAAGAGAAAGAGAAGGTACTAAAAGTTTTTCCAATAATTAATGCTTACAAGGCATTCATTTCGAAAAATAATTTTAAATTTTATGGTCAATGCTACAAGAAGGTGAAGTACGAGCAGTTGTATTACGGCAGTTGCACAATAAAGCTTAATCGAACCTAAGATTATGCATTTCACATATTTAAATTTGAAAAAAGAATAACTTTAACAAATAAAGCACATAAATTGGTCTAATAAGTTTTTACAAATTTAGCAAAATGGTTCGTGGATCTTCAACTGAAGTTTTAATCTTTCGCAAAAAAGTTACCGCTTCGCGACCATCAATTAACCTAAAATAAGTAAAATATAATTGAAACACCACAAAGACAACTGTTGTTGCACCGAATGAAAAAACACCTCTTTTCATATTAAATGAGGAATTATCTCGAATAAATTCTGGATAAAAGGAAATCATTACCTATGATCGTATGTCAGTGCAATAGTCATTATCGGACGTATTTCAACCTTTCCATCTATTGCCACCGGTCGGTCGAAGATGCCATGCATCCCGAGAATTGCTGATTGTGGTGGATTGATGATTGGTGTTCCAGATACTGAACCGAAAATGCCACCATTACTGATTGTGAATGTTCCACCTTCCATATCTTCGATTGTAAGCTTGCCGTCTCGAGCATAAAATTAAGCGTTAAATTAGGCAAACTAATAAATTAAACCTTAAAAATGTTTATTATGAGACCATAATTGAGCCGTACAGTTATCCTACTTCCACTTTTCTACTTTCCCTCCTCCGTCATTCGTCTCATTTTTCACTTCAAAATCTGACTTCATTCTAAGCAAAAAGAAGAATCTATGGTACTCTCAATCAATCAAGGCTCACATTGATCAGTACATGGTAAGTCAGAAACCATACAAATCCTCTCCAATCTTCCCCTCCCATCTTCTATCAAGTCAAATAAAAAAGCTAAGTATCTACAAAAAATAAGGGAGATGAAAAAATAAACTGGTGTACAGAGAAAACCTTTAGTCATGATTTTTAATACACCAAAAGACTATAAAAAAAAGGCAAGTACTTTAATTGCATATTCATTTAATGTTTTCTCGATGGCTGCATAATCCATCGTTTCAACGTTACGTAGTACGGGCACTACCAGACCTTTTGGTGTAGCGACTGCCACTGACACATCGATATAATGCCGATACAGTATCTCCCCTTCATCGATTACTAAAACAAACAAAATCCCTACTTTTCCTACCAGTCATTTTATCAAAATCTTTATAATTACTGACAGATTTAATCGACCGAAATCCTTCCTCTGCGTCGACAGAAATAAATGAAAAATCCAGCAAAAAATGGAAAATATTAAGAAGACCCCAAAAATTCGTGAATCAGAGAGCTAGCAACGAATAATGTGTGGGTTGAACAAGGTTGAAACAGAAGTTCAGATAATTAGATTAAATTTTGAATCTCGAAGTAAAATTGAATGACCCAACGTGAGGCTCCAAAACATCAAATAGAAAAAACTCACCAGCATTAACAGTGGGGAATTCTCGCAACGCATAAGCAGATGCTCGAATAAATGGCGACATCAGTCCAATTTTAATGCCATATTTTGCCACGAATTCTTTTTGATACCGTTTCCTCATTTCCAGTATATTGCTGAAAGTTATCCATTTGCTAATTTAAACTTTTTAAATGTAATTTAATCAACCGCAAGCAACAGTACTTCGAAAAAATAAGATATGAAAAAAACAAAGCACCTCATGTCCACTTCATTGAAAGTAGTAAGCATGGCATAAATATTCTGGGCATCTTTTAATCGCTGTGCTATTCTCAGACGCATTCGATTCATTTTCACGCGTGTCTCATTTCTTGAACCAGTAAACAGACTTTGATCAGTGACCGATGGAACTTTCTCAATGGGAGGCTCTGACTTATGTTGAGAAGACGATGGAAGAGGTGAAGTTATAATTTTCACTGGTTGTGCAGTTGTAACTGGCTTTTCTGAAAAGCATCTCAAATATCAACTTGAAATCTCACTTTCCACAGCTCATTCGTTTTTGAAATTCCTTCTCGAATCACTGTGATTCTATGAATTCAAACCAGATCAAGCCAGAAATATTATTAAGCATAGCTCCTTACCTGCTAGGCTAGGCGATGCTGATAATGTTTGGACCGATTCTGACTCTGGAGGTGGCGGAGAAGTTTTCTGCCCCACTGGTTTCTTCGCTTCTTCTGTACTCGTAACAGGTGCTTCTGAAAATATGACTAACGTGCATTCATGTCATATAATTAATGTGCTGACAGCAATTTTTAAACGTCAAAAGTCCATAAATGCATTTTGTAAGGTCAACAAAACTTTAAATTTATGGACAGTATTATCAGTTTAAGAGAAGATGCTGAATCTGGTATCTTCAAATGAATTGTCGAAATGGAAAAAAAACAATGTTTCAGCGAACACAACCGTAATCTCTCAGCTTACCTCCTCCAACTTCTAGTTTATACAACTTCTGATTTCCAATTACTCGATCGCCATCTCCCACTAGAAGTTCCACTATTGTTCCTGACTGAGGGGACGGCACTTCTACAGTTGTCTAAAAGATTTCGAGTACTTTATATTAATAACTCATTTTTTAACTAAAGCAATATAATTATATTCTGGATAAAAGTAACTTGCAGAAAGAAGAGTTAACCTTATCAGTTTCTATCTCAGCAACCAAATCATCTTGATTGACAAAGTCACCCTTTTCTGAAACAGTCACATTCTAGAAATTATTTCAAAATCAGTAAGTATTTAGCATATACAATAAGTTACGATTCATGAAATCCCTCTCCGTGAGAAAATAACAAAATACACTCAAACGACTCAAACAAAATACACTCAAATGACTGAAAGAAATAAGAAAAGAAGTCTGAAAACAAAAACGAATTGATTAATAATTGAAAACTAACGTTTCAGCCATCTTATATCCCCTTCAGAAATCGAATCTGCGAAAGCAGGTCCTTCCACTTCTATGATATCAGCGTCTGAAACCCAAGTGATTAATTTAAACATCAAATATATCAAAATATTAGAGAAGCAGAAGTTAGGCTACCAGACTGTTGGTTTTACTATAACGACCACTTTTACCAATCTCTTCACAAATCTGATTTCAGTGAAAGCTAGAAAAAACGAACAACATGACTGGCTCGTATGTAATTGTCCAACTACATCGAAATAGTGAGACGACCAGTTTTGTTGAAGCATTAACTGTGAGATAGTTAAATATCTTCGGCATTGTATGATATGTAGATTGTTAAGTAATAACCTGCTACCGTTTAGCTGAAAAAACTATACGTAATATCATCAGAACCGGAACCGACTGATCAATGCAGTTTCAGAACTGGCTGATTATATGATGCAGCTCCTCCGCTAATAACAGTGTATTTGTTATTGCTCCATGATAGGAGCTGATGATCCCTCAGGCTAAGTATTTCGTTTAGTCTGCTCATTAGTTAGCATCTTACTCAAATCCTTTTGGTTTCTTCAAACCATCTTTTTTCTCAGTTAGATATAATTCAAGTGTGTGGTGTAAATCAATACATAACAGTTAGATTTGCTACAGGGTGGCTCTACTCCCACTTACTTCACTAGCTATTGAACGGATAAAAAGAAAAATACCCACATTTCTGAAATGTGAAAGATAGGTGCAAAACACCGTAAGAAAAAAAAATATATTGCATATAAAATAAATAATGGAACGGATAAACATCGCAATTGCAATTGTCAAGAGAAATGTTCTAACAACATACTCCATTAATATCTGTCCTTTTGGAACCATAAATTAGATTAGACGCTACTAATGTGTAAAAATAGGAACCTGATTCACCAGCAGACGATTGCATGCAGAAGCGGCACGTCGCAACATAGATTGGCGTTCTGTTGACAACAAAAAAAAAGTGGTTACTGAAGGTCAAAATCTACAAAAAGTGAAACATCCTGCGTAAATTCGCTATTGCATAAAATATTGCAGCAAAAATATAAAAGAACCTTCAATAAGCTCAATTAAAGCAGAAAATTCAATGCCTCCCGTGGCAGTAGCAAATTTTAAACGTTTTTAAGTTATCGGAAACACTATAAAGAGAGAATGTTAGGCTTCCAATGGTTCAAACGACCGCTCAAGAAGCCTGATGATGAACAAAGCTTCTCAATCATATCTGTTTAACGTCAAAAAAAAAACTTTGCATAAGAGATCATGTTCATAGTATGAATAATTTCTGGAGCGATCATCTGAATTTTCTTCGCTAATGTTCTAAACTTTATTAATAGAAAAGAAATCACTATTAGCGCAATACATGAAGGAAATGGAACATTAATGTGATCGTATGTACTTGAACTGATACAACTGGTCCTGTACAACTTCTAACAAATTAAAGCATGATTTATCTAAATTACACAAGATATTGCCACAAACAAATAATATATAAATGTAGCATGTCTCAAAAATATTAACGGAAAACAAGTTTTCACCAAGTTGAGATTTAGGCAACTAAGTAAGATTCTTGCATTTCTACGAGGTTTAAATGTTTATTTAGAAAAACTCCCAAATCATTTATGATTTCAAATCGATAAATGGCAGTGATCTGGGATGGGATATAATACAGGCAACACAACACATTACAATTACTAACAACGAAAATCAAAAAAGTTCTTCGTTCAATGAAATAGGCTACAACTTTAAAAAAGAAAGAATAGTACTATTCAGCACTACCAGGTATCAACTCAGGAACATACACTATCTCTTACACCACCGAATACGTTAATAACCTCTCTACTTCTCTCTTCTTTCAGTTTCCCTCCAACGTATCATCGTCACAGAACGCCGTGTTCTTGTTATCCTTTCATGAGTTAAGTACACTGGAACTAATTGTGATCAGTTCCAGATCGGATGATTGATTGTAGTTGATCGGGGTATCAGTTACAAGCAAATGCAAGTAAAAGGTAAGAAACGCTATAGCTCGAGCTGTAAATAACCAGATTAGTTCCAGTGCATGGTAACTGGTTTAGTTTTTTTTTTTTTCATTATTTCACAGGATTTTCGATCTCTTTTTTCTCGTGGTTTCATATAATTTCTGACTACTTTTTTTGTTATGCCACATGATTTCCGATCTTTTTTTTTTCATTATTTCATACGAATTCGATTTGCTTTTCTGTAAAAGCTAAAATTAAGAAACAATCAGAGTATATGACGTTCATCACAAACCTGAGAAGTTTAGTTCAGATTAATTCCCTTTGAAAGACCGTAGCAAGAGGAAAAAAACTTTACAGGGAGTTTATTCATATATGCGACAATGTAACAACAACAAATTATAATAATCGCTTCATACTCCTGTTAAAGCCATGAAGGCGAATCATGAATATTCAAATCATATAGCTGTTTGCTTCAGTTCATCATTTTAACACATCTTGAACTCTCTTATCGACACTTACCTTACAGACTTAATGATAGGAAAACTATTAACAAGTTTTCATCAAAACCACGATAACCAACTTATTCCAGCTTTCACCTTTTGCGTTGCACCTGTTTCCTGGGATTTCGATTTCTTTAAATCTTGCTGAAGACGTTCCAGATGTACACCAGTTTCTGTCCATTTAGCACTAGTTAGCCACAGCTTATTTAGAATTTTCTCATCTGACGCCAAATGATGCCATGGCAGTTCGGTCCTAAGTGAGCTGTAATTTTCTTACATTCAGAGAATGTGAGAACACGAGAAACCAGACCGCCCAATGGCACAATAACATTTGTGTATAACTATATGCAGGCTTCCTAATTTTAACAGAAGCCAGGCGTAAAACATGACATCACTCATATGCTAAGGTTAAGTAAAAGATAATGCAAGAAAGAACAGACACAAGACAAAAAGTCACTAGAAAGTTTGAAAGCTTAATTTGACTAAACTAACTTGATGAAAATTCCGTTCACGTTCTCCATCTTTTCGTCCACAAGTGCATATAATACGGGACGAGTGGCATCACTAACTGATTGCGCAGCAACGAGTCCATAAACCCACCTACAAATTCCCCAACTCTCTTGAAAGATGGTCAAATAACTAAGAAAACTCTTTGAAATTTATTTCAAATTTACAAATGATTCCAAAAGAAACCACCTTTTCAAAGACTTATACCATCGTACAAAAAATATTCGGTCATCGGCTGCTTCCAAACGATAAAATAGGTCAGTTCTCGTATTACCTGGATCAACCATCGTAACTCGTAAATTTGTGTCTAGAATAAAATCATTATAAACAATATGAAAGAGATCGTATCATCTAGAAAATGAAACAAATATCAATTTGTCCCAGATGTCCCAAAAGTAATATTGACACCTAATCTTCTTTATCCCTTGGCCTATCAATTCATTGTCGCGATATAACTCCATACAGTTATAACCACTTCTCAATTTTTAACTAGGAGCAAGGCAAAAAACAAAGAACAGAGATTTCTAATTTCAGGAAACGTTACTACTGCCAATAAGTTTGATTTTCTTGAAAAAAAACTAACCTCTAACCTTTTCTGATAGCAACTTCACGAAAAGAGTCAAAGCAAGTTTACTTTGATAGTAAACATCTTTCCTGGCTTCCTCAGGAGATTCTTGCCACTTCGTTAAGTCTGCCGAATTTAAATCGCCAAAGTTTAACTCGTTTCTGTGCAAGATGTTAAGTTAAATGAAGAGATACATTCCTTATAAAAAAGGAAGAAAGCAGAAATCCTTTATTTGACATGTCTAGCGAAGTATAAAGCGAAATCAAAATTTTGAAAAATGAAGTAGATAATTTACAGTTTTATATCTGAAGTATTCAAAAACACCAGGCGAACCGGACCTGACTGCTTCCTCAATCGATCATACAATAATGATGTTAACAGAAAAGGTCCCAAATGATTCGTCGCAAATGTGCGCTCGATATGATGCTGCAAAAAGAAAAGAAAAATGTGTATTGTGGATGAATCAATGCAACGCATATAACTCTCTATGGAAGATCAAGCAATAAAAAGGACTCCTTGAAGAGGTTCATAGTGCCAATCTCCGAACGATTTCATTTATTTTACATTAAAATGGAGAACTATTTTAACCCAAATACAAACTATTTATAGTTGTTGTCTATCATTAACATGGTATCATTCAACGACTACAATTTTCCAATTGTTGGTGAAAGTTCAAGTTCAAAATAAAATGAAAGTTGTTAAAAAACTAAATAGTAGGAAAAAAATGCTGAGAATTTTTCTTTCATGATAGCATTAACCTTATTCGTTTGGCGAGTAGATTCTGTGGTAGCAGCACTGTACAGTACACCATCGATTTGTTTAATATTTCCTTTACCTATAAGGATAAACCATGCTGAAGGCGGATGCTGTCGTGTAGCAATTTCTCAATTTTAAAAAAAGGTTTACTGTTTTAAGAAACATTACCTCCGTTTAATAAAAACTTCAAGGGCATTGTTGTTGTTTTCTGCTGTTCCGATATCTCTTTGCAAATTACAAAATAATCTATGAAATGCTCAGAAAGAGCTATTTTTCAAAACAAACATCCAGGGCTTTTATCTCTCCGTCAAAATAGAGATAAAGCTTCCGCCATTTTCTATAAATTGCAGGAAAAGTAGGAGTATATTAAAAGGTCAGAAATAACTTTCAAACTAGCTAGTCTAACCTGTGTTAAGTTTAAGAACGAACTCTCGTACTGAATCAAAGTCATCCAAATTTAAACGTCTACAATAAATTTCCATATTTTTCGTTGCAATTACTAAATTTCGGCGAATTTCAATGCATTTGCGATTATTCCTGCAAAGTTACTTAATTGAAGATTTCAATAACTACACCACTTCTGATATCTTCATTTCTGTATTTGTAGGCCAGCAACACAATCTTTAAGAGCTATTAAATAATGGCCCCAATACCAAAATGTTAAATTAATATAAGTATATTGCTGTCATCCAAACATCATCTTCAAAACAACTATTTGGCAAAGTGTCTCGTTCCTTAATTTTAAAGATTCTCGGAAAATATTCGTAAAAATCAGCAATTTCATTTTATAATTATATTACCAAAAGTTGACATATGACCATACCTACAAGCCATAATCACTTTCGCTTTTCGCATTGCCAGTTCTTTTGCTGCTTCTTTGCCAATACCAGAAGAAGCACCCACAACGATGTATGTTCTATTAGCCAAATCATGCTCAAGTTTGTAATTATCATGTGGTCTGCCGTGACTAAAATTAAACAAACACTTAAAGTATTTTTAGTTAAAAATTATTGAAAATAGTTACATAAATCCGTATTGCTGAATGCTATTTAAATTGCTCTAACTTAAATAGCATTCAGCAATATGCATTTATGAGGTATGAAGCTCATATCAATGTTAACATTTATTTCTGGCTTATAGAATTTTACTGTGAGCAGAAAGAAATAATCTAAGTTGAGAAAAGCTCTTCAAAGTTTTTACTCTTAGTTTTCCTCTTTTTGTATTCGCACTCCGTATAATGCTTTACATGGCTATCATGTATATTAATAACACAGTAAATACTTTATACTTGTGATAGGGTATTTAGTATATCTTTGCATATCTTTCGCATTTTCCATAAAATTTTTCATTAAAACAAACCTCAGGAATGAAAATAGCCGTAACATTTGAACAACCTAACATTTTGCTTTATCTTCAATTCTTATATAGAAAAGGTATGTTTGGGAAAAAAAAGCATACAAATAACTGTAGTAGGTTCCACTGGCACCTGCACTCGCGGCAAGTACCGTCATCCATCCTTTTGATACCCTTATTCTCGTCCATTTTGGAATGTACATCAGTACTCCTGCAAACCACTTTCCATTTACAAGCTAGCCCCCATTCTGCCAACCTTTAGTCTCGATCAAGCAATAAACTCAACATCTGCATCCACGATCGGTCAGAAACGATGTCATAAAACAACTAATTTCATTATATCATTGATGTCTTCGCACTAGGCTCAAATGTGTCAGTAAGCCGACAATAAGACAATTATCCCTCAGACTTTTCTAAACACCAATCAGTCATCTTTATACTTATGAAACCTTTTAAGTGCAGACAGAGTAATTTAAAGAGATGAATACCGCCAAGTAATGTTCTTTTGGAAAAGAAAAACTGGAAAGATGAATCCGTATGGGAGAGAATAACAACCATAAACGCAGCGCACGGGTGTACACCAAAAACCAATTAGTAGAATGAGGCATAAACAGTAACAAGAATTAAAGAACTAGAGATATTAAGAATGATGGAAAATACGATATTGAAAATGGGAATAGATCGCGTATTATACATGAACATATCGACTTCGTAAACGCAAATGACGCGCACTGATTTTCACGAAAATCATTATTTGCTGAATATCACAGGTTGAGAGAGGACTTAGATACATAAGAACGCGTGTCAACGCGTTTCGTAAGAACGTGCTTCAGCAACAACCAGAACAGTGACAAAGTTTGTATCCATAAAATTAAATATTAGTGGATGCAATAAAATAAGCAACATCCAATTCAAAGAAAAACCAATATTTAACTGCAAGTTTTCTTGGCAGTAACTTGTTGATGTTTGAGGTTGCGGCATAATTTATCTTACTAGGTCACTATGTCGCACTCATGTTTAGTTATGCTAACCATGGCTTCTAATAAATACAGAAAATTAGTTATTAATATATTTTGGCCAAATCCATAATAAACTTCCGAAAAATTGCAACAGATAAAACAACTACAACCACCAATACCAATTAACGATTAGTACTTCACAATCAAAAAGCCATTCTTAATAATTTTCTGAGATTTTCCCAATGATACAAGGAATTTGCCATCAAAAATGTCTTAGATACAAAAAAATTTCGAAATTACTTACCATCTACAATCTTTAAGATGGAAAAAGAAAACAAACAAGTTTCATTTCCTTACAAATTGACAAAAAAAACTCCAGAAGCTTTTAGCCCCCCCCCCAAAAAAAAATATATATATATATATAAAACCTAAAAATATGTAAAAAGGAGCTATAATAATAAACGGTGATCAAACAAGTTTTTTAGCTTCAAAAAAATCCCTTCAAATGACGCATTTGCCAAGCTCCGGTTAATAAAAGTACGATTGTTTGTGCAATGGACCACCACAACACTCGTGAATTTGTATTTTCGCTTGTCTGCCGGAAACGTTCTTCCCTAAATTAGTTCACAGTCGAAGATGAAAAAACCAGATGAAACTAGGGATACTGCAACTAGTGGCAAAACTAAACTTGACAGCGTGAGAAAAGCTACTTTCAGAGAGCCCTTTCAGAAAGCCCATTTATGTAGTGGAGTACATGTATATCCTTTGACGATGCGCAATTGAAAGAGTCCCGCTAATTTCTATGATAAAAGTTAAAAATTTTCAAGTACTATGAAATGTAATGATGCGTACCTGTACCGCTGATAGTTCTGTTCTTTCGAAATTTGCTCAACCTGATCAAGTAACTGCCTGATTCGAAGTTGTAACTCATTCAGTTTATCTTTTGCAGCTACCTAAGATGATTTATTTTGAAGAATGACAAAATTACGACAAATTAACAGTGATACCTGCTAGATACGGAACTTAATAAAAGGACCTTTGCAGATTACAAAAAGATTTGAGTTTCATTAAGTGAAATTCCGAATGAAATACCACAAAATTTAACTAAAGTAGCAAGGAAGTAACTTCACTTTCGAAATGTTGCTTTCGTTCATGAATAAATGGCAAATTTAAAAATACCCGCTCGTAATCCTGCGTGTGTTCACCAGTCTGAATATCAAGGTACACCCGCAGCTGTGCACCTCTAAACCAAGAAGTTGAATTCGAATACAGACAGATAAAATGTTCACCAGGTGAATGGGAGGTAAACGTAAATCGTCCTTCACTGGTATATAATTTTGATAAGATTACCTGGAAGTGTAGTAAGTAGTAATGGAAATTTTTTAAAAAAAAAAGTGATGGAAATTTAGAGTTTCCATTATATTATATAAATAACTAATTAACAGACCATTCAGCCAAAACCAAATCAAAATAATCACCAGAATCAGGGGAGATTTAATATTAGAAAAATATATAAAAACCCCCTACAATCAAAGTTCCCCCACATTTCAATTTTTTAAAAAAGGATTGACAAACTTTTGAGAAATAAATCCAAACTAAGAGAGAGAAATAAATTTAATCCTAGCATTCCTAAGTATGTTCTGCATCATAGGTATAGTAGCATATTTGAAAGAGCGAAATATACCAATGAAGCAAACTGAAACGTTTTTAAACACTGACAGGAACTTCATCCCTCAAACCAGCAGTATTATCGGCAATTTCCCAGACATTTCGTTTCCATAACCATAATCATGTCAATTACAATACTAAATAAAATTACCTTATCTTCCGGATCCTTAACTTCGACGTGCATTCCGATCCTCGGGTACTCACCATAACCTTTCGTGTTTGGGTCATATAACATTACCTTGTAATTACCAATCACAGTTGTTTCATCAGGTATCTCCTCGATGAAACATTTCCGCTCAGTTTCAGCAATGTGGAAATACAATGCACGTACCGAACTACACAGTAAGGTTAGGAGAAGTAAGAGGATTGACATTTACTATCTGCAATAATAAAAACAGTAAGCACTCTACCACAGAATGACACGTTGAGACATTAGTTTGATCACATGAAAAGCTTTCAGTTGAACCAGTAAAGTTTTGGCAAAAAAGCAAAGCGGTAATTTCGCTGCATTTTGTTAGCTTTTGCTGCACACAAAGAAATTGTGGATAATGTTAAAGTGATATGTCAACTTCGGACGGTTCTCTAGTCGAATACCACCTATCCCTTCACGGGCACAATCTTTAGGTGTGCATTTTACAATTGCACGAATCCAAAGCATCTTCATAATCTTGGATCCTTCTATATCATAAAGATTAGCAAGCAAAGATATAAATCAGATCCCAATGGATTATCTTTTTGTACCAGTTTGTAATCGAGAAATATTATCATTAACTTAAGTTATATACTTGACAGACATACTATTACAAAACTTGCTATAGTAATGTGACATTTAATAACACATATGCAAATTACAGAAACAACAATTCTTAATAACGAAAATTTTATCCTTTCTATTTAAAATCGCAACGAAAGCATAATTTATGTATATCAAGCATTAATATAACTGTGTGGGTTTACAATGAGAATTAACCTTTCTTGTGTAAAAATCAATCTAAGATGTTGCGTAATAATGGTCACAATTTTAGAAAACACTTCACTTACCATTATGCTTATGGCCATAGTGAGATCAAAAATGACCTTTAGATTTGAGCTTCATACTTCCCATACTTCCTTTATTCCCTAATGCTTCTACAGTCTTCAGTTGATTCTGCATATGAATTATCAGGGCATCCACTAGTCTTTTAATAAAGTAAAAACTATTGTGCGGTAAGTAATGCCAAATAATTCATTAAGAATGGATTTTCTTGGGTGAATTCTCAAAGAAATTTTTAAAATTAATTACCAAAATTAGCAGAGCAAATTGATGCATCGCATGCTGACTCATCATCGAGACCGCATTTCCCCGCTCAGAACGCATAGTGTATAAAGAATAAGAAATTGACTAAGAATACGACATAAAAAGTCAATAAGCATAAGACTAGAAAAGATGCTAATTAAAATATATATCAAAAAAAAGAAAAAGTGAAATAAATACAAAGGACATGTGAGTTATACAAGCAAAAATTAAAGATTCACATGGTTTAAAGCTTCCGAAAATGCAAAAGGAAGATAAAAAGTTCAGAAAAACAGAACTAGTAAATAATCTCAGTAACTTGCTATCTATTCTTCCAACGGATCCAGTTCCCCATTACCCCTGTTTTTGTATATCTTCATTGCCTAATATAATTGGTTGCATTGATATGGCTGATCTGAGTGAAGTTATTAAAGATTACAAGGCCCAATTCTTGGATAAATTTCCAAGTAGTTCCAAATAGAAGTGAAGTGGAACTTATAATTTGCAAACCAAGCTTAGAAAAAATAACTAACAATAACTTGGTCTTTATTTCAACCAAAGATTTTGTCTAAGTTTTCCGGAAGGAGGGAAAAAAATACTTACGTCTTCAGAAAACAACCAACAAAACGTTCACTTTTTCAAGGAAGATAATACAATAAAATAACAAAGGAACTGTAGAAAAAATGTGATGTAATTCGCTTTTCATAATTCAGAGTTTCTGAGTTAAGTAAATTATGCAAACTGAATGAATAAAGGAACATGAAGTGGTCACCGAAACCAGACATCCCCGTGCGGTACTTTGAAGCATGTTAATTCTGCAGAAAAATAAATACACAGGTGGACTAAAAACTGATGATTTAAAATAAAATGTAACATTCAAAGAAATTTAGATTTTTCGCTTCTGGGAAAAAATCTTCATAAAAAAGCGAGAGAACTTCAAAATAACACATGGATGACAGCGACTGATCTATGCTGAAGTGCGGCGAATTATACCATATTCTTCAAGTTTCATACAAAATGGAAGACACCTGAACATGTTGCCAACAAAGATTAACCGGTTCAGATCGGTGAAGGCCTAGAAATCGGATGGACTGGCAGTGTGAACTAAAATTTAGGACTAATTAACAACGGAAATGATAAGTTTAAAACAACGCATGAATACTGTTATTCACTGGTCCTTCAGACACCAATTTCAAACTAAAGTAAACATGAAACTATGGCACCTTGTTTGAAAAGTTTCAGACCAAACATATTTAACAAAATTTAGGAAGAATAAATTCATTAAAATGGAAATTTTCACAAGAAACTCTATTGCAAAATCCATATTGCACAAATATGAAATCAAAATGCTGGAGGCCTCTCGAATATCCAACGTTGCCGTTCATCCGTAACATCACATGGCATTAATACCAGAACATTATTTCGATCACGGGAACTTGACAACAGTAAAGCTGTACACTGGTCATTTTTGAGCAACCTTCCGTTTGTCTCATCCAGAATCCATCTTCCCTTAGTCTGTAACAGTAAAGTCACTTCAGTTCATCGTTTATTGCAAAGAACTTTTCTATACCACCATCTAAGAACAATGAATGACCCAAAATCATTTCGTATCACTCTGAGTAAATAAAATTACGATAGCCGTTTTAGTAATATGCACAAAAACGCTGACCATATTGCAATGATGCAGGATAAGCGTTCCCTTTTCATCATCCGTTATGCATAAGTTTGAATATGGGCTTCTTAAAGTACCAATTTTTTCATTTAATACCCACTCCTATAATTGGTGCTTGGACATCGAGTTTAGTACATGCAACTAGAGCTATGAATTGAGAAAAAAATAACAATATCTAACTTCACATGAATAGGACCAATTAGAATAGCATAGAATTCCTGTTCGAAATATTACAAGAAAGTTAAAGTTTTGCTAGAAATACAAAAGTTCTACTAAATTGTGATCAACTATATAAGCACAAATGTAGGCATTCTATCAATGCTCTGGCGCGTCTTTGGGTTCAGAAAATTCGTGTAACATAGAGCACCAAAATACCAAATTAATCTCAGCATTTCAGACTGCAGTTTAGCAGAGGCTTAAGATTTTAATAAAACATACACTTGACTACTTCTAAATAAAATCTTGACCCTAAAAAGACCATACCTGATTTCCTCCTGTACCATGACAACGGTATATACCGACGGAAGATAAAGCTATTTGTTTACCTAAAGAATCGATACAAACTCTTCCCTGTCTGAATGTCAGATATCTTCCTTGCTCTTTCGAGGGAATCCTAAATGAGAATTTAGAGGAATTTATTCTTATCAAACTATCTTC